CGCGAGCGCGCGCGAGCTCACTCACGTGTCCTCTCTTATATTCAGAGAGATTGAAAAGAGAAATATGTGTGTGTGTGTGTGTATGTGTGTCTCTTTCTCTATGGTGTTGTAGGGTGAGAGAGACAGAGAGAGAGAGAGTGTGTGTGTGTGTTTATATATATATGTCAGGGAGGATGTGTGCGAGAGCGATAGAGAGAGTGAGAGCGAGAGTATGTGTGTAAGAGAGAGAGAGAGAGAGAGAGAGTGTGTGTGTGAGAGTGAGAGAGAGGAAGAGAGAGGGGGAGAGAGATAGAGAGAGATAGATATATATATATATATATATATATATATATATATATATATATATATATATATATATATATATATATATATATATATATATATATATATATATATATATATATATATATATATATATATATATATATATATATATATATATATATATATATATATATATATATCTCATGGTGCATGCATGGCATTATTTGCAATTGAGTTACATTATATCACATACATTTGGGGTGAAATTAGAATGCAATTTCCGATTTATGTCGAATCCAATCTGAAATATTCCAATTTTTTAAACTACATTTTTTATTTCGAATTCCAAAATTCTGATTTCTACTTTTCCCTTTTTTTTTGGAATTGGGATTTTCTACACACTTATTTCCGATTCGATTTTAATTTCTAAAAACTTAATTTTGTTTTTGAATATTACACTTATTTTTCTAAATATTATTTTGTATTTTATTATTTCAGGTGACTAAAATTGGAAATTTTCGAATCCGGTCTTTACCATTCAAAAAAATTAATTTTGAAACAAGATGTTCGCATTCCAATTTTCAAAACTTAAATTTTAATTTTCCCTATTTCTTTGGAACGGAACTGGAATTAGTTTTTCACTTGCGGAAAAAACAATTATAATTTTTTCGAAAGAGCTAATCCGATCTGATCCATCCAATTTCCGCCTCTACATTAATTAATTAATTAATTTAGGTGGGCTAATTGGGAGTTCCATCTAGCTTTCGACATGAGAGTGGGCCCCAAAATCTCGTTAGCATCGATCTACGACCACGACAAAGACAAATACCGGCGCGTGATGTACAGAGGCTACATATCGGAGCTCTTTGTCCCATACCAAGACCTAACCGAGGAATGGTACTTCCGAACCTTCCTCGACGCCGGCGAGTTCGGGTTCGGCATCTGCGCGGTCCCGTTACAACCCTCGAAGGATTGTCCTAAAAACGCCGTTTTCTTGGACGGTTACTACACCACCAGAGACGGAACTCCGGCGAAAACGGAGAACGTGTTTTGCGTGTTCGAACGATACGCTGGAGACATAATGTGGCGCCACAGCGAGACAATACTTCCAGGTGACACCGTGGTGAGTTAAATATTTTTTATTTTTATTTTTTGTTTTTTAATAATGGATTAATTAATTAATTATGGCTGAAAATAATTATAGGAGGTGAGAGAGGACGTCACACTTGTTGTGAGGATGGTGTCCACCGTGGCAAATTATGATTACATAATTGATTGGGAGTTTAAGCAAACTGGCAGCATCAAAGTCACTGTAAGTTTCAATTGAAACTTTTATTTTCTGTTTTTTTTATGTGTTGGATTATATTGGATTCAAATACTCGTACCTGGGGCTGAAAATTGGAACAAAATTTCCGATTTATGTCGATTTTCCGGTTTGAATTTTCCCGATTTTGGAATAATATTTTTCATTCCAAATTCAAGAAATCAGATTCCGTTTTTTTTTCCCGATTTTTTTTGGACCGGAATTGGAATATATATGAGATTCCAATTTCAGTTTGCGAAAATTTCATTTTATTTCCAAACATTACACTTATATTATAAATATTATTATACATTTGATATTTTTAGTGACTAAAAAGGTGGAATTTTTCCGATTTCTGTCAATTTCAATATGAATATTTCCGATTTTGGAAATTAAAGAGTTTTCTCATTCTTTCCGAAATTTGAATTTTACGATTTTTTCTGAAACGAACTTGAAGTGGATTTTTTTATTTCCGAAAAAGATCGTTCAGCGTATTTTGAAGTGTTTCAAGATGCAACTATAATCAAATTAAATTTGATATATAGGGATTCCAAACTGATCAATGTTATAATGTACTATCTATTATCTAAATACATAATTTATGAAACTAATTAATTAATTGTCCCTAAAAATTAAAACAGGTGAGTTTATCAGGAATTCTTGCAGTGAAGGCATCAAAATACACTCACAAGGACCAAACAGAAGATGGAGAGGAATTATACGGTACATTAGTCGCAGAAAACACCATCGGAACCCGACACGATCACTTCGTCAACTTCCATCTTGACCTAGACATCGACGGCCACGCAAACTCCTTCGTAAAAACTCACTTGAAGACAAAAGTTGTTCCGAACAGCTACGGAATTCCTCCGTCGTCGCCGAGGAGGAGCTACTGGACGGTCGTGAATGACGTGGCAAAGACCGAGTCAGATGCAAAGATCCGAGTCGGCTCAGGGGAGACCGAGTTGACAGTTGTAAACCCTAACAAGAAGACGAAGATGGGGAACGATATCGGCTACCGTTTGATCCCCGGTCCGGCGGTGGGGCCCATGCTGTTGGAGGATGATCATGAGCAGATACGTGGGGCGTTTAGTAACTACAATGTGTGGGTTACACCGTATAATAACTCTGAGAAATGGGCTGGTGGGTTGTTTGTTGACCAGTCCCATGGAGATGACAATTTGGCTAAATGGACCCTCAGGTACTTCTTTTTTGGTTAAATTACGAAAACCCCTAAACTTAGACTAAATACCGAAAAACACCCATTACCTATTTGTAATTATCAAAAATCCCTTGAGGTTTGTTTCCATCTTATACCAACCCTTACAGTGTGACTTTTCACTGATTTTTTATTTTTTATTCCAGAGAATAGAATTTACACAATTTCAAATGTTTTCTTTTATTTCTCACATATTTAACAGAAAAGTATAATAAATTGTACACATTTCAGTTAAAAAATTCGATCAAAGTTATTCAGGGAGGGAAGTTGGTTATTACACATATGTGGGGGGTGTTTTTCGTTATTCAACCTAAATTCAGGGTTTTTTTTTTCATAATTTACCGTTCTTTTCAACATTATTTTATCGATTTTTTTTCTAATTTCGTCAATTTAAATCCAATAAAAAAATCAAATTTGATTCTGAACTTCATATTTTTATAATTATTTTATTTATTTTTGCGGCAAATTACGCAGGGATAGGGAAATAGAGAACAAGGATATAGTGTTATGGTACACATTAGGGTTTCACCACGTGCCAGTGCAAGAAGATTTTCCAATCATGCCAACTTGGAGTGGTGCTTTTGAGCTGAAGCCAAACAATTTCTTTGAACGCAATCCAGTCTTGAAAGTCAACTCACTGAAACCTACCAACTGGGTCAACTGCTCTGCACATAAGTAACAAGATTAATGCAATGTTAATGTAGTTGACTTATTATGGATAATTGTCAACTTTGATTTACTGTCTGAACTCTGTGTGTCTTGAATTAATAAAAGAAGTTTCCAGAACCAGCTTATTAAGGAGGTAGCTTAATTATTTGGTTAATTTAATTCTGCAGACACATTTCCTCACCAAAATCTACGTTCAAGCATACTCCATATAATTAACAATAATAAGATGATGTAATATTTAATTATTTTTCTCACATGTATGTATGAGAATTAAATGAATTGTACGTATTTCTCAACATTAATTCACTGTGATTTATGAAATTAACTTTTTTCTAGAATTTTAAATGGGAAGATTTTGTTAGCCTTGTCACGTCGGAGGCCCGGGTGTGAATGCACTGTAAGGCTATGGTTTGCGCATTCTCCGACAACAATTGGTTATAGGACAAAAGATGGTAGCCGTCTGAGGTCTTACAAGTGATATCAAATCTAAGGTAATGGATTTGATTCTCAGTTGAAGCAATTGTTGAGACAAAAATTGTTAGCACGAGTATAGAAATTAATTACTTGAGTGTATGTGCTTTCATGGTCATTTATAAGATCAATTATTTAGGGCCAAATTCTCCAAGAAAAAGTGTTTAGCTTGAAGAAACATTATAACATATAATTTCTGAATTGAGAAAACTTTTTTCAAAATCGAAATTATTTGGATTGAAAATGGTGGAATTTAAAGATTGTATTATTTTTAAAGGAAAAAACTAGAATTTACAACATTATTGTTTGAAATTAAAATCGGATAAATGAAATTTCAAATATATTTTAATTTCGATCCGATTTTTTTCTTTTTTTTTGGGAAATATATAAGTAGATGATGGAAGAGTGCAAGTATTTTTGTAATTTCAAAACCTTGACCAAATGATGATAAAGTCAACTGCTTGGGCACTAACAAGGTTGGTCAGATAGACACAATTTTCCAAGTACAAGGGGTAAAAGTAACAAAAATTAAGAAAAGATGGGGTAAAGTGAGACGGTTCAAAAGTACAAGGGTGAAATAGTGAAGTTACCCTTCTTATTATTTAAAAATTGGTAATATTTTCCGTCTTTAATAGAATACGCCGTCGTTTGGTACATAAACATAACGCGATTTAATAAAGTATAAAATGTAAAAAGTATGAAAATTGCAGACCTTAATTTCTAGGGTTGTTGTTCTTCGTTCACTCTTAAGCGCGGAAGGATGAATAACAATCCGACGACGGCGGCGACGACGGCTGAGGCGGCGGCGCATCTGCAAGAGGGAATCAATTTGTTGCTTTCTCGGTGGACTGCGCTTCGTATGGCCGTCGAGAACGAGTGGGGCGGCCGTGGATCTCTCCAGAAATCGCAGCAACTCGGCGGCGATATCTTTCGTCTTCTCACTCAGTCCAAAGGTATATTTATTTCTTCTAGGGTTAAATTTATGAATGCAAATTATGATAGCTGTAATTTTCTCTTTAGCACTAGCTTTGATTTTGTAGAATTAGGGTATTATGATTTGAATTTTGAAGTATTGCGAATATTTCGGATGGGGGAGAGTTTTTGCAAGCCTAATTGGATTTAATTTGCCCTAATTAATCATAAAATTGAGATTAGACTCTGTTCTTTTATTCTCAATTTTTTTTGCTGTGGGCAGAGTGAATTGATGTTCAATTTTGTTGTTTGATATTGGGGCTCAGAGGAAGTATCTATTCGCCATGTGGACGACATGCTTTACGATTTCATGGATACTCTCAATACTGATATAGAAGATGGCAGCATCGAAGAGGTATTTCAATTCCTCGTTATTTATTCGTTTGCATGCCTACTCGTTACAAGCTACCTACATTTGCAGAAACCTTTAATTTATTTGTTCATTAAACCACCTTCAATTTATTTATTTATTTATATATCTGAAAGTATGTACTAGAATCAACAATTCCCTCATCCTAGCTAGTTTGGTCTGGAGTTGTGTGATTCGATCCACTTTTTTAGAAACATATGTGCAGTTTTGTATCATCGATTTTGGAATGAGGAAAAATAGAAATGCAAAAGAAAAAATATGAAAAACTGATTATGAATTTTGGTTCCCAAGAGAAACAACAATGAAAATTACCTTATATAGGAGTTTACCTTCTAACAAAAAAAGAGTTATTTTAGTTAACCTGTTCAGTTTTTTACTTAGCATGTTAATAGATCCAAACACAGCCTTAATGTTTCTATGCTCCATATATATATATATGCTAAAAACTAACTGAACCTTTTGTACCGGTCGACAAGTATTACTAATATCAACTGGAGCGATATCATCAAAATTTTGAAAGTACTACTTATAATCAAAGCTTACAGAGTATTTGTAGAGACCCATTTGCACTTGCACTGTCGATCGGGGTTAAAGATGAAAGGCTAATCTGAACTTACTGATCATATTGTGTTTTTTTTTTCTTTTTAATCTTTTCAATGGATACTTGTTTGTTTTCTATATTTTTTACACGAATTTTATGCAGATATCGGAAAAATTAATGGTCATGCATGAGGAATGTTTGGAAGGTAATTTTGGCTCAATAAGGAGTTTGCGGGAAACAAATACTCCTAATCTGTCTTATGTCAGACAGGTAACGTCAGTTAACTCTTCGTACTTGAAACTTTTTTTGTAAACGAAATGTTCAAGTCTTATGTGTGTTTTTAGCGCGGTTATTCATTTCTACCGTGGCGGTCAGTTTAATTGAAGATCCTTAGAAAGTGTTTTATTTATTAGTTAACAAGTAACAAGTGTTTACTGACGAAAAAAAGATATGCCTGCAAAACCCGACCGTCGAACAAACAAAATCAGTAATTGGTTCCCTTATCATCCCTATGAACAACTAATACTCCCCGTTTCGTAAAGCCTCATAATTCTTTTTTCCGATAGAAGATTCCAAAAGGATGGTTTTGCATTATTTACCCGAAGGAAAACAATGTTTTGTCAATTTCTCTTTCATTTTTGAAAAATCAATTTAATCAATAGTACGAAAGCATCCAAATCCCTTTGAGGCCATAATTGCAATTTTCCTTGTGTTCTTGTATTAAATTTTGTTTTTTTAATTCCTGTAATTTTGTAGCGGGGAATCAATGACGAGGAAGAAAGTGAAGATGATGCATTGAGAGAAGATAACTCTCGTCCGAAATGGAAGTTGATGCTCCACAATGCCAATCAATTCCTAGTCTAAAGGACTCGGTTACCAATCACACAAACGCGAGCGGAACACCTGAAGTTGTCGATGAATGGAAGGTAGTATGCTCCAAGCGGAGTAAAAGTAAAAATAAATTGAAGTAACAGCTTATCAGTTCTTAAAACATAAAACAGCTTATTAGACGTAATAGCTTATTAACTATTTAAAATAAACTCAGTCAAAGGGGCCCTAACCATTATTTCAAGTTAGGTTGGGACTTATTAATACAATTTTATTTTTTTGGAGACCTTACTTTAATACTTTACCTCTATTACCAAAATTATAAATAAAATTAAAATTGGGTGAATGATTATTAATTTATTCAACCAAATCGGTTGAAAGGACCACGTCAATAGAAGTTGCAATATTGTTCTAGTACTATGCTACTTTTCAAATTTCAATCAATTGGTGCATGTGACATGCCTCCTTCCCCACACATGTGGATCTAACTCCTTTTCTATTTGACAAGATGCCATAATTTGAAAACTAATTAATATGTAAAAATATATACTAATCAAAGAAGAATATGTAGAAACACCGTTAAAATGTTAAATGTCGTTTTCATTTTACTAATATTAGACTTCGAACGTAATTTTGGTCCATTTTCTAATCTGATTTTGGCAATATTCGAAACACGAAAATTGTAGTGCTTTGAGTTACATCTCTAATCAACTTGAATCAGTTAGATTGGATAACGTATGGCAAAGTTATGTTACGTTTTGGATTTTAAATAACTCAAAATCTCAAAGTTGTGAGTATTGTTCATTGATTCATTCATATCTTTATCATCAAATGTCTAATTTTACCGATTCAAGTTGGACGAAAAATCTAACTCAAAAGAACTACATATTTCTTGTTTTAAGTTTTGCGAAATTCAATATCATAAATGATCAAACTCTTATATAAAATCGTTTATAACTGAAACGACATATATCACATCCATATTTCCTTATCATCGACTAAGAAACCAATATAACACTGAAATCTATATATTTAAAGCATTAGTTAAATCACTATCGATTTTTTTTCCCTAATGATTTTAGATACGACGGTAGATCAACTCCTTCGATTTTTCTCTTCTCTCTAAAGATCATGACTAATTAATTTCCTTATTACACTATTAAAACTATTAGATCCAAATTAAATAATTTTAAAAGAATTCTTGCAAGCAATCATATATTTTTCTTCTTTCATATCCACAAATAAGTTGAAAAATTCATCTCAATATAATTGAAAAGAAAAAAATCTGAATGAAAATGAAAGAAAAGAAGTGCCAAACACATCCTTAACAGGTAACAGAAAGAAAGTCGGTAAAGCATCAGATGACGTCACACTCATCCGTGGTGGGGGCATATTATAAGCTGTGTCTGGTGCGGTGGACCAACTAAATTCAGTGACAGACGTTTCTGTTACAAAGTACAAACGTATAGAGGGGGCGCTGGCCCCATCATTACGTATCTACCACAGAATTTAAAGCCCCTTTTTTGAAATCTATAAAGATTTTTTGCTTAAAGCCTTGTTTGGTTGGCCTAGATTAGTTAGCCGCTGCATCTAATTATTTGCATTCTGACCCACTTAATATTATTTAATATCTTTATTAGTCCCATCAAAACTATCTATGGGGTCATCTTATCCACCCCTCCTCATTCCCGACTTTTTTTTTTTTTTTTTTTTTTGTAAGTAATGCATCTCTATCTTCTAATATTGAAAAAAAAAAGAGTATTACTGACAAGTTTTTTTATATGTGAAATTAG